GATCAAGATGCTTGAAGATAAGGGTGTTTCGTTCTCAGTGCCAATGTAACAGTAAGAGCCGCATTCACCGTAGTTTCTGAAGCTATAAGACTGTAGGACTGCCCGGCTGGTGTGGCTCAGTGGTTGAGCGTTGACCCACGCACCAAGAGGTTACCGGTTCAATTCCTGGTCAGGGCACATGCCCAGGGGGTGGGCCCGATCCCCAGGGGGGGCGTGCAGGAGGCGGCCAGTTGATGTTCTCTCTCATCGATGGTTCTATCTCTCTCTCCCTCTCCCTTCCTCTCTCTAAAGTCAATGAAGGCAAAAATTAAAAATAAAAGAATGCAGGACCAAAAACAAAACAAAAAGAGAGAGACTCACACACACGCACATTGACCTTTCCATAAGCTACATATGAGTACAGAACATCATGTTTTGTCCAAAACCATACCCTTCTCATTCCCACAGGACCAAGCACCCCGTCCTCCCGTGGTGGGTAATGAAAGACCTGCTCACAGGCTTGCACAGTGCCCGTGCCTGAAGACAGGAGAATGCACTGAGGGGGGGTTTAAAGGTAATTGTTCACTTAATTCAGAAACTATGCACGAAGCACCCACCATGGCAATGCTACTCTGTGTGCCTGGGATAGAACAACCGAGAAACAGTGATTCGACTTGGATGCTAAAGAGGAAAAAATAAAGGGTCTTGAAGATTCATGAAATGAGGTCAGAGCACTCATGGGTATTACAGATCGTGTGGGTTGTTAAAGCCCATCAACTCTTTTTTTTTAAAATTGATTTTACAGAGAGAGGGAGAGAGAAACATCAATGAGAGAAAACATCTTTTGGCTGCCTCCTGCATGCTCCCCACTGGGGATTTGGCCCACAGCCTGGGCATGTGCCCTGACCCGGAATCGAACTTGGTGCATGAGTCTGATGCTCAACCACTGAGCCATGTTGACTGAATCAACTCTGTTTCTTAACTACATCGATGGAAAGCCAATCAACAATCTCACTTTGGCCGCATGTTGAGAAGGGACTGAAGAAGGATGGAATCTTTAGGAGGCTTTTTGAAGAGTCCAGGAGAAAGAATGAACTGGCTGGGACCAGGATGGATACGTGAGGGTGTCAAGTAGCAAATTCTGGATCCACGTGAAGGCAAAGCAACAAGACTGATTTAGAGAAGAGAGACGTGGGTTGTGAGGAAACCAGAAGAGGCGTAACTGCATGGATTTGGCCTGAAAAGATTACAGCCCAGCCTGTAACAGGCTAACGTGCTCAGTTAAGCAGAGTTGATCACATTTTCTCTTCCGAAATCTCCAGAAACCAAAAAACAGAAGAGAAGATGGAACCCCACGATAGCTTCTACCAGGGAAAGCAGGGGGCGGCCAACACGAAGTCACCTGATTTAGGATACAAAACTCTGAAAAGAAATGTTTGCAATTAGATGCTCCGGAGGTTTCCAAAGTCAAGTGTGAGGCGTAGGTCAGCCCCTCCCCAACCAGAACGCTTCCCTCTTGCATTTTGAGACAAGACATGTTTTCTCTTTAAAAGTTAAATCAGGGAGAGTTTGGACGTTCAGGTACAGGGACAAAGTGCTGGAGTAAACACAGGGATTACATAAAACGCTGGGGATGACTATTTTATGCTTCAACGTGGCTAGGCTTGATGTCCAGTTACTTGTACAAACACTAGTCTAGATGTTGCTATAAGGCATTTTATAGATTTCCTCAGAATATAAGAACACTGATCTACAGAAAAAAAAGGGCCCACTGAATGCCGAGAAAAATGATTTAACAACAAACACATCATAACATTTTCTGAAATCATATATATGGAAATGGTAGAAGCTTCCGGAATGGAAAGAAGAAGGAACGAAACAAGAGTTTGATTGACAGTCCTAGAAGATAAAGGTGAAATAGCGTGTTGAGTGAAAACGATTCTACACCGTGGTAATACTCCGAATAGATTTAAATGTGAAACAACAGTCATTTCAGACATTCACAATTCTCCAATCGCCCCCTTGTTCACGAGCTGCTGGAGAGTATGCAGAAACAAGTGTGCAAATAAAGCGAAGCAGAACACGTAGGGTTCATCAACAGGGAAACCAACACAGAGGCGTGTGACGGAAAACCTCAGCGCAGCGACCAAAGTGAGACCTAGGACAAACCTGTGCAACAGAACGAGAAATCAACCAGCTCAAATCAGGGACTGAAGTCCTGCTGCAGACTGACATATTCAGGGGAGAATTAAAAAAAAAGAACAACAAAAACAAAAAACAAATAAACAAAAAAAACCTGCTAGATTTCTTGGATAGATTTCTATTGGAGTTCTGATTCCTAGAAATATTGAAGGGATCCCTAGAAAACTAAGCAAAGGCAAACTTTCCAAGAAAAGAAATATCATCAAAGCATGTTAAATGGCATAGCTGTGAAATAGACTTACATGGTCACAATAGAATAATCTGTGAATACGGACTTAGCCAAATAAAGGCATGGCTGAGGAGGAGGTATAAAGAGCTACACACTCATATTCTAAGTAGGAAGATAATCATTTACGTTTCCAAGGTTGAGGTGGAAAGGTCTATGTAGAGATACAGAAATAAAAGCCAGGAGAAACATCGGTAGGAGCTGAAGGTGGTAGGGAGATTTCTGGGAGAGCAACAGAGCAGCTATTTTACAGTGGAAACCTTAAATTCTTTTCAAAAAAAAAGTTATTAAGTTTATTGGGGTGACACTGGATAATAAGACTACATATGTTTTAGGTGTCCATTTCTATGACACATGATCACGTACATTGCATTACGTGCCCACCACCCATAATGAGCCTTTCAAGTCTATGTGATTTTTAAAACGACCTGAATATAAATTTTGATAAAAATGCAAATTAAATTAAAATATTAGAAAACCATTCTCAGTCTACTTCCTCCCGGCCCCTTTCTGTGTGTGATTTGTCTGGTACATCGCTGGTGTTCCAGAGTAATTTCTACGCACGGATGTCACAAAATCCTCTGCCTCTGTGTTTTCTTTACTTGTGCTGTTTCTGATTTCCCTTGTTGGAGTGTTAATCCCCTGAGAGCCTGGATCACCTTATTCAACTTCCATTACCACCTGACTACGAGAATTCCTTGTGCGTTCTGTAAGCGGATGGTTTAAATGAAGATCTTGAGAAACGATCATGAGTTCTAAGAGGGAGAGTGAGCCCGGCCAGTATGGCTCAGGCGATGAGCATCAACCTATGCCCCAGGAGGTCCCCAGTTCGATTCCAGCTCAGGGCACATGCCAGGCAGCAGGCTGCCTCCCCAGTAGGGGGCGTGCAGGAGTCCGCTGAGTGATGTCTTCATCATTGATGTTTCTCTCCCTCTCCCTTCCTCTCTCTAAAATCAATAACAATGTTTTGCTTTGTTTCGGTTTTTTTTAAGAGGGAGAATGAGGCAGAAAGTGCCCTTCAGGGCGGGAAAGGGCAGAGGGAGGGGGAAGGTCACACGTGAATGAATGCACATACACCACTGAGATCGTTCCGGTTCCTGAGTCCTGACTTGGGGCTCCGTGTCAGGTTTCGCGGGACCTCCAGATAACACAGCCGCCTTTATGTGGCAGCCAGTTCGCATTGTTTGCTGACACTTTTATCTCAAAAAGAATTAATTACTCATCAATTCCTTCTTGTCTTTTTGGATTTACCTGTCACACTGACCAATGTCAACAGAGAGGCAGGGCTCAGTTCTGTGAAGCTGCATTCCTTGTCATGTAAACAGGACGTGAGTCCCACCTTGCCCTGGCCGGTCAGTCACCCTTTAAAGTCTGTGTCATGATCAGTGTCAGAGACTCAGAGAGCTCAGAGCTGTATTTGGCAGACAGGACAATGAGGACAGCTGTTAGACCACCGGTGAATCTGTGCACGTATATGACATCGTGATGAATTGATTATAAAGAAAGTGTATCATTTTAGTTAAAATCATGGAAGAAGCCAATAGGATCCACCTTTCTTTCAGCTGAGAAATAGATAGTAAGATGGGTACAAGTGGTCTATCTCAGCAAATTGACAGCATTTAAAAATCATCCTTGCCCTGGCCAGTTTGACTCAGTGGTTAGAGCATTGGCCCACGGACCAGAAAGACCTGGGTTCGGTTCCCGCTAAGGGCAGGTACCTCGGTTGCAGTTTGTCCCCGGCCCCCGGTTGGAGTCATGTGGGTGGCAACCAGTTAATGTGTTTCTCTCACATCGATGTTTTTCTCTCCCTCTCTTCTCCTCTTGCTCTTTCTAAAGATCAATGCAAAAATGTCCTCAGGTGAGGATAAAAAAAAGAAAATCATTCTAGATGTTTCTACATGATGTCAGAACATATAGCCAATTTAGAGAGAAAAACAATTAGGTCTTTTTCTTTTTTCCTTCAGAAAATCAGTTCCTCATCTGACTATCTGACATTATATAATAGGCAGCTCAAGTCTTCCTCTCTTTTTTATCTTTCAATTTGTTTTTCTTTATTGATTTTACAGAGAGAGGGGGAGAGGGAGAGAGAGATGGAAACATCGATGAGAGAGAACATCGATTGGCTGCCTCCTGCATGCCCTACACTGGGGATCAGCCCACAACCTGGGCATGTGCACTGACCAGGAATCAAACCGGTGACCTCTTGGTGCATGGGTCAGTGCTCAACCACTGAGCCACACCGGTAGGGAAAGTCTTTCTTTCTCTGGAAAATAGAATGTGTTCTTGCTGTGCTTAGATTTTTTTTGCCCCAGTTGCTGAAAGAGGATTTCGTTCAAGTTGAGGAATTAAAAACAAGGACATCTCAATCTGAAGTGCCATTGGCTGGCATTCATCTAAAATGTCGAACAAACAGCCGCATCATCTCGAGTAAACCAAGCAATTGTATCTGTGCTGCACAGTGATGTGAGTTCAGCATGGATGCTGGAGATTCGATGTTTCAGGAGCCTCAGCCAAGTAACCAAGAGGACTCACCCGATACAGACTAGAGAAGAGAAAGTCACCGAGCCCTGAAAGTATAGCATGTCTCTCTTACCTGGTTGACAATGATCACACCTTCTTCCTTGACGATTGGGCAAACACTGGCACTGCCCGCTGACTGGGTCACACGTGGTCCCAGGTAAGGTGCCCAAGGAGTCACACTCACACATCTGGCAGCCTTGGAAATCGCCCGTGGTCAAATTGTACCAATGAGGCTCACACTGATTGCACTGAGGACCTGTCACTCCTAACTTGCAAGGACACTGTCCTGTTGATTGGTCACACAGCGGAGAGCCACTTACTGTCCCAGACGTATCACAGTCACAGGGCAGGCAAAGGAAGGACTCATTCTGCTGCTGACGGAAGAACCCCTCCAAACATCCATCACACCGTCTTCCTCCAACATCGGGTTTACAACGGCACTGCCCTGTCCCAGCATCACAGATGGTCCCAGGGAGGGTCCCAGCCATGTCGCAGTCACAGGCCTTGCAACCAGTGACGTCCAGCCCGTAAAAATGTTCCTCGCAGAGGTCGCACTGAAGTCCCTTGGCTTCCTTTTTGCACACACACTGCCCCGAAAGAGGGTCGCAGAGTTGGCTCACTGAGCCATAGAGGTTACACCGGCAAGGCTCACATCCATCCTCATTGAAACTCCGGAGGAACTTAAATCCAAAATTGCAATGATCACATCGGAGCCCTAAAGATAAAATTTGTTTTAAAAAGGTGGAAATGACTCGAGCATGCTCTCACGGTAGCTGAAGCACAGACAAGGGCTCTGCTGACATTTAACGTAGACACAGATGTTGAGCGTTTGCCGGAGGGCTAATCGCAGACCCCAAATATGATGGTCGTACTGAATTTGGAGACGATGCGACTCTATTTTTGTCAAGTGCTTTGTTAACTTTTTTGTATGTCTTACGTAACGCGAAGGAAAATACTGAATGCAAAGAAAAATGCTTAATGCAAATGTTACACCATTACACATACCGGGACTCTCTCGTTAATGATTAAAAAACTATTATTTTAAAACAACTAACTATGTTAAAAGTATTATTTTTACTTATATTAACAAAGCATGCTCAATTTTAAAAGTGCAGTAGAGTGAAATACATTTTCAAAGCTGTGCAGAAGAATTGCATATTACCACATTATTTTCCTAGAAATCAGAATCCCCCAAAAATGTATAGCAGAATGCTAAGCTGATAACTGTTTGGGTGGTAACAGTATATATCCTTACTCAGAAATATCACACATTTAAATAATTAAGATAAATAAAACTTATCCAGAGCCACTTTTATTTCCATGCTTTTATATGCTCCTATATTTCATCACTTTCAATTAATATAAATTATGTTCTCCTTGGCTCATGAACAATCACATTGCTTGTCATATTGTACGATTCAGAACATACCTTTTTAAACACTCAAGAAAGTCTGCTGTTTAGATTACTCCTATTTAAAGGAGTACAAATATACATTTCACAAACAGAGAAAAATGTTTTATCAACTACACTTCAATCTCTGACAGCTAAGGTTACTTTCAAAGAGTATTACGAGGCAAAGAATAAAAAAAAATTTTTTTTTTGAATAGTAAATGCTGAAATGCAAAACACTTTCTTTAGATAGCTTTCTCATATCCATGAATTTAAATAACTGACTCCGTGGGGATGAATCAAATGAAACATTTATTTCAAGCTTTAATAGCAATAAAAAAAATTAGTACTAAAATAACAGTCAAAAACACACTCAGGAACTCATATGTAGAAAAGCATTTCCTCAACGGGAAGGAAATGCATAATATATATGTATATATAGGAATAAAAATTCAAGAACTCCAATGGAAGGCAAGTTCTTTAACAGTGATGAATGACTCACCTAAGGCATATCATTTAATTTCAATAAGGAAAATAAAAAAGGACGACGATTGCTGCAAATTTTAAAAATAACTGTATTGTTAACAAGAATTATGACTCATTTTGAACTATTAAAATTGGTCTACATGGATTCATATCATATCAGTTTTAAAAATATGCGCAGTGCTTATTTGAATACGCCATACATATTCCTGACAGGTAATCTATTCCTAACGATACTCAAGAAGGCCTACAGGGCATCGCATTCGGTGTTAACAAGTACAGGCGAGTTAGCACACTTGGCATTTAATTCACATTCTTCTCCTTTTTTATTCTAGATGAATGACCTACTTTAATAAAATTATTGGTGCTAATGTATTTTACTGGGGATGGAATCATTAGTAAGATTTAACAGTTTTGTTAACTCGAACAGTTTGCTTTTCCAAGCGTAGACAATACACACTTGTATTTTCTGTGTTTTTTTTTTTTTTTTTCCTTATGAACAAGGTAAAATGGAATAAGGTTTCTTGTTAATCCCCTTAGAAAAAGAAATAGTGATGCACACCAAGTTCATGTTTTCATTAAACATTCTGAATGTGCAGAAATAACGTTAGAAATAATATCAAAATGGTGATTTCATTGTCAAATATATATATATATATTTCATTTATTTATAGATTTATATTTTCCTGCAGAAAACTATCTGGATCAACCAGCATAATAGGTAATTGGTAGGGAGGTTTTAACAAGTCTAAGTAGATAGTGAATGTTGATGTTTTTTCTTCCTTAAGCTCTGGAATTGAACCCATCACCGGAAAGATAACATTGATATAGAGAACACACTGTTCCATTGTCTTTAAAGGTCTTTCTTTGGCTTTTGTATTCACATTTTGATTTTAAAATATGTCTCCTATTAAAGAACAGAGGACGCCATACAGACTGAATTCAACGGTCTTAGAGTTCACTCAGCAGCCCAGATGACACTTACACGAAGGTGTGCTTCTCCCTACAGGTTGGTCACACAGCTTTTCTGACTAGTTTTGCTATGTTTGAAATGCGTAAGGGCAAGTGACATTAAAATTTTTAATGTAATCTTTCTCTAAACCAGAGAAAGCATGTGTAATAGCATTAAGCATGCCTATATTCTCTTTTATTAAATTAAAATGAAATTCTTATCGGGCTGAATTAATAAAATTGTGTGTGTGTGTATAAAGACGAAAAATGTTTTAATATTATATCACAGGACTGAAAATATGAATGATATGTTCCTATATATGTATATATGCACATATGCATGTGTGTGTGTGTATGTATGTGTGGGCGCACGCGTGTTTGTGTGTGTGACTGCCAGGCATGGTTTTATTATTATCAGGTTCAGGTCAATGTGAGAATAACGATGGAGTCTTGAATGACAATAGAAAGGTAAAGGTCTTTTTTAAACTTCCTGTAGGAAGCGAGGAATGTTCAGTTACAATGTAAGCCTCACTTCATCAGGAAACTTTCCGCTCATAATATTCTCATATATCAAAATTTCAAAGTGCATTATGTACACAGCGCGTTTTGGGCACTTGATAAATTTTGTCCTTATGTGGCTGTGTTCCCCTCAAAAATGTTGGATGTAATAAATTGCTATAATCAAATCTAATTTCTGAAAAATACCTGTGGGAGTAACAAACAAAAAAGCACGTCTTGTATAAAAAAATGATAAATAACACCGAAGGTGGCTGTTTATTATAATCAGCTTGGCACTGAATTATAAAATTAAAATCATGTGGCCCCGTATAACTAACCCTAGCAATATACATGATCTGTGGAATTATGTTGACTTATTTTGCATTTCATAGGAACAGTTCAAAGAAATATAATAGAAAAAATATGGAAAGATTTATCACAAAGGACCCTGTAGCACAGAATATTTTGAAAAAAAAATCCATTTATTTTGGTCTATTAAGAAAAACTAGCATGGAAATGATTTGCTTAGAACTCATTAAGTATAAAACATTTTGAAAAAGTGCTAATTTTCTAAAAGAAACATCTATGCAGTAGGCAAGTTGTATTTTTCTATGACTTATTAGTATAGGACCGTGTGAACTACAGAGGCCGTAGACTCAGGGAACTTCTAAAGGGTTGATTAAGCTTCTAGCTGAAGTTTGATAGAATTATTAATTTAATCACTTTTAGACAGTTAATTTCTTTCAAATTGTTTTTTTTTTTTTTTTCTTCTTTCCAGCCTGCCTTGAGGAAGAAAATTTGCTCGACTCTTCTGTTAAGAAATCAAATAGAGGATTTCATTCCAGATAGTGGCAGAGAGAGGGCCACACTTGTGCGCCATACATACCAATGACATTTCCTTTGCACTTGCACTGGCCTGAATTGGGGTGACAGGTGACGTCTCCATCCACTGTCCCCGAGGTATTGCAGCGGCACGGGCTACAGCCCTCAGGATTCGACTCCTGGAGACTGTGGAATCCATCCTGGCACCGACCGCACCGTCGGCCGGAAACACGTCTCTTGCAGTCACACTGACCCCCCACCTAGGGAAGATACAACAGTTTTGTAGACTGATGAACATATCTATTTTTAGATAATTTGCTCATTAGGTACAAGACAGGGCAGGAGGGAGAGGGGGGAACAAACCCTTTAAATGTTAAACAGACAAGAAGGCAATAAGGTATTTTTTCCTCCTTCCCTGACACACACACAAACACAGAGGAAGCTTCAGCAGAGTGGATATATAGACCTGAATGAAAATAAACCGAGGAGAAGTCAGGAGTCGGTGGCGAAAAGGCAAACGTGGAATTAAGCGTTGAGCACCATCTAAAGAAATCGAGGCGTGGCCATGTGGAGACCGAGAATAGAAAAGAGACAGCAGTTAATTTAGTCTTTACCACTTGACTTCTCTGTTCTGTTCCTCTCACGCACGGTCTTGTTCATCCAAACTTGTTTTCTGCATACAAGGTGCTTCATTTAAGGAAGGATCTTGCTATACTAATAGTATCCCTTCAAGGTTTCAACAATGTTTAAAATAAAGGTCTTCATTAATAGCAGCCTTTTATGCCCACTGATAATAACCCTGAGAACATTTTTTTTTAACACAAGCCTGCTTTTAGGAATATTTCAGTATGTTTACGATTCATGTGTAGCGTGACTTAATCACAGTCAATATATCTGGATTATTTATATTGTGGTCAAAGAGTGAGAAAAACATAGCCCTGGCTGGTGTGGCTCAGTTGTTTGAGCATCATCCCATGTACCAGAAGGTCTTGGGTTCGATTCCTGATCAGGGCACATGCCCGGATTGTGGGCTCAATCCCCAGTAGGGGGCATGTGGGAGGCAGCCAACTAATATTTCTTTCTCATCTATGTTTCTCTTTATCTCTCTCTCTAAAATCAATAAGAACACATCTTTTAAAAATGTGAAAAAGTGACCTGCGTCAGAGTATTCTCAGGCAAAATAGCTTGAAAAGGAAGTATGTTTTTCTTCTTTACGCTGCTTATTTGAGAATAAAAATATACAAAACATATAATACTCAACTATTGTGTACATAGATGATATTAGACTGGCTAAAGAAAGACCATTAAGAGCTAACACTTTGCAGATGGGAACGTGTACATACAAAACGTGCAGCAGGTATGAGGACCGCGACAATAATTTAGGACTTTCACAAGAGAGGTGCACAGACACGGAATCTCTAAAAAGTCACCGACCTCCTGCCCTGGTTTTCTTTCATGTGGACTGAACCCAGCTCCACATACTCAAGAGGCGGGAAAGCACATGTGGTAGCCGGGGTCTGATTTACCTATAACCTCAGGATGTGCAGAAGGACCACCTGAGGTTGGCATTCCGTCACAGAGGTGTAGAGAAGGGCTTTTTAATTAAATAATTTTTACCAATCTGGCACTGCCTCATTTTTCCTCATCGGAGACATACGGCTCACTGGGTGGTTATTTAAGGATAAAGCATAATTGACATGAAAATGTCTAAAACTCTGACAAACACAGGTTGATACGTGTATCGGGTCGGCTTGCAGGTGACAGTGAACCTCGGTGTGAAAGACATATGGGTCCCGGAAGATACGCAAGGACAGAAAAGTGCTTCCTTGTACCCGGCTGTGTTCCCCGCCCCCGTGTCCAGCCCACCTCCCAGAAACTAGTCATTACTCAAGACGGGGCTTCGATTATGGTCTGCAGTGAGCAGCGGCAGTGATCGGTGGGCGTGTGGTCCACAGAGCCACGGGAGAGTGAAAAGGTTGAAAAGAAATAGAAGTGCGCTCCGTGGCCAAAGGTTGCCTTCTACATACTGTTCTGTTGGAGTCTCATTCGGACGGAATGCATCTCACCTGGAACCACCTTGCCTCTGGACATCTAGAGAAGACCGCCTGCAACCCTAAGTCCCCTCCTGCGGAAGGACAAAAGGGCTCCCTAGATGTGCAAGAATTCTGCGTGTCTTCATATTCTCACGGTCACCCTAATGTCTGCTTCTCGCGTTTTGGAATCTTTTCGTCGACTAAGACTCCACCTTGTATCGCCTACCTTTCAAAGACATGGAAACTAGGGAACACAAAGATGCTCGGCTTGCCCTGGCCGGTTTGGCTCAGCGGTTAGAGCGTCGGCCTGCGGTCCGGAGAGACCCGGGTTCGGTTCCCGCTAAGGGCACGTACCTCGGTTGCAGTTTGTCCCCAGTCCTGGTTGGGTAGTGCGGGTGGTAGCCACTCGATGTGTCCCTTTCACATCGATGTTTCTCTCTCTCTCTTTTCCTCTCTCTCCCTCTCACTCTGTCTGTACAAAAAATGGAAAAAAACAAAAACAAAAAAGAAACAAAGATGCTCGGCTTGAGCATGGGCGACTGAAGGGGGGGGTTGCTGACCCAGTAGCAAGTGATGGAAGGGACCTGCGGTGGACTGCAGTCCGGATACTGGCCAGCCAGGGCACTGCCATGGCAGGGGCCCACATGGGCCAAACCCTGAGAAGGGCCAGACGGAACAGGCAATTGAAACAGAACACAGTCATCCCTCGCCACTTCACGCTTCCACTTTCGCCACTTCAGTCTATCGCGGTTTTTCAAATATATTCATTAAAAAGTTGATCGAGACAGTGAAAACGATACAGCGCGCTTGGTTGTCTGAGTCAAGTATACAGCCCTGTAATACAATTAAAATTAAAATGACTGCACGTGTGGACTGGAGGCCTATGTGTTCGCGCGCCCCAGGAATCCTTCAGCGCCAGGGGCACCCGCTGGACCACCCCCGTGTGTGGGCAATCACTTTTTTCCAGAAGATCGGGTGTGGTGAAACCGAGCCAATCAGAGCGTGCTGGTCACTGGCTGGCTGTCCTGCCCCCTCCTGTCCTGGCCACTGATGGGCTCAGCCTCGTGCAAGTTCACTTCTCTCACACATGCTTCTGCGTCGCGTCGGAAGCATCTTTGCTCTTTAAGTGTCTGCGATTTCTGAGAAGGTTTATCTAAGCCCCACGATGGCTCCTAAACGCGCTGCTTCCTCGAAGCCTCCTGAGGATGAAACTAAGCGCCGGAGGAAGATGCTCACCATCCGGGAGAAGGTGAACCCCTTGGGTGTGATCAGAGACGGCAGGAAAATCGCGGAGGTTATGACTTGAGTCTACCATCCGCTCCATCCGTAAAGATGAAAAGAACATCCGAGCAACGGCCACTGTCTCTGTCAACAGGAAGCAAAGTGCATCGTGACAAGTCATAATAGTGGAAACGGAGTCTGCCCTGGCCCTTTGGATCGGTGACAGCGGCCAGAAAAACCTTCCGCTGGACGCGCTGGTCACCCCCAGGAGCAGGTGAGGCAGCTCTATCAGCGCTTCAGGGCGGATGGACCTCAACCAGGACCCTCTTCTGCAACGTTCCCGGATCCCACGCGAGCAGGGGTGGGTTCTAGAAGTTCCAGAAGGGGTATCATCTGAAGAGTGTCGTTCTCCACGGAGAAGCCGTCTCTGCTGACCAGCCTGCAGCAGGGGACTCTGTGAACAACACGTCCCAGAAGATCCTTGAGGAGGGCGAGAATCGTCCAGAATACGTGGATCAGCTGCTGGAGACACATTCAGATCCCTTCACTGATGAGGATCTGGCGGACATGACTAAGTCTGCGAGTGAGGAGGAGGAAGAGCAGCCAGAGGTTCCTGGGGGTCGGGAGGAGGAAGCTGGCCTTACACTTGAGCCTCTCTCGCAAGTCGTGAGAACTGTTAAGGTAGCGCAGGACACGATGGCGAATGGGCCCCGTGCGTGCACTGCGGTTCCGATGCACTCGATGGAGCGGGAGGGCCCTACAAAAGCCTCCTCAGCGTATGAAGAGACAGCGCCAGCGACCGCCTATCACGATGTTCTTCAGCCGCACCCACCCTGCCTGCTCCTAGTGTCCCTTCAGCAGAAGATGATGACGCACCTGCTGAAGACGCTGCACCACCTGCAGACTCTCCTACTGAGGTCGCGCCTGCAGAGGAGCAGTAGCCTTGCTCTTCCTTGGTGCAGTAAGTACATCTCTTCATCTTCATCACTTCATCATCGAACAAGTTGCACTATGTTCGTAGGTTAGTGGTTGTGTGTAAGAGCTGTGTGTGTAATTAAATGTGCAATAATAATATATCTGTAATGTCTAATATGTCTTATTTTTTCTTATTTTGTCTAATATATTGGGTAATACAAGTGTTATGGTGACGAAAGGGTGTTATTTTCATGTCTAAAGGGTTCTAATGATGCTAAAAAGCATATTTAGAAGGTTGTAAACAAGTTTTCTATGCTCTATCTGCAAAAAATATTCGGTTTATAAATAAAGAATCCTACTTTGTGGAAATTCATTTATCGCAGTAGAGTCTGGAACTGATTAACCACGATAAATGAGGGCCCACTGTACGCGACCAGCCGGTGTGGCTCAGTGGATGGAGCATCGTCCCATGGACTGAGAGGTCCCGGTTTGATTCCCAGTCGGGGTACATGCCTGGGTTGTGGGCTCGATCCCCAGTGTGGGGCGTGCAGGAGGCAGCCGATTGATGTTTCTTATCTCTCTCTCCCTTCCTCTCTTTCTAATCAATAAAAAAAAATACTTAAGCCCTGGCCAGTTTGGCTCAGCGGTTAGAGCGTCGGCCTGCGGTCCGGAGAGACCCGGGTTCGGTTCCCGCTAAGGGCACGTACTTCGGTTGCAGTTTGTCCCCGGCCCTGGTTGGTCGTGCGGGTGGCAGCCACTCGATGTGTCCCTTCACGTCGTTGTTTCTCTCTCTCTCTCCCTTCCTCTCTCTCCCTCCCACTCTATCTGTACAAAAAATGGAAAAATATCCTCGGGTGAGGATAAAAAAAATAAAATAAAATAAAAAAATACTTAAAACTAATAAAAGCAAACAATTTATTTCAGGAAGGTTAAATTCAATGTACCAGTTCCTGAGTGTTTCTTTCACTCACTATTACTCTCTTCTTGACTACCTGTGCCTGGTACATATCAGCATCCACAAAATACATGTTCATTGGCCGAATAAATTAATTTAAATGAATTATGTCATTGAAATATGTCCAAAGATAACA